GTAAGGGAATTTTAAAATTTGAGGTACCTGAGAAAATCTGAAATGGCTGGCTTGAAGTTTGAGTATGACTCCTCTGTGGCTAGGTCCATTTCTGCCCTAGCAACAGCCATTTTCCGTGCAGACATAATCATGAAACTAATATCGGGCAATGATGATGCAACTACTCTACGACCCACCCCCCATCACATACCCTTGTGATTACCACACTGTAACCAATCTAAGAAAGACATGTATATCCTTTTAAGCCAATTGCCTTATGAGCTTCTGCTATAGGAAGTCCTGCCTTAAGAGTTCCCTCCACAGGAAGTCCTGCCTTAAAATTGTCTGCTACCAATGGGGTCCAATTGAGTAATGTCTTTAGATGATCTAAGCCTGTAACTACTAATCAAGTGATGTCTTTCAATGATCTCAGTTTGTAAATGTCAATCAAGCACTGTACTTCATGTCCTTTGTTTCCCCCTTATAAAACGTCTCTGCTCAGTCCCCATATTGGACAACTGGATTCCACCTCGTGGAGTTCAGTCTCTCTCCAGCTTCAGCTGTCTCTTTACTTTCAATAAATCTATCAGTTTTGCATTAATCAGAGTACAGATAATTACCCTACGACACTACTACAGACTTTGTTCTAATATGGGTGATCATAAAGGGCTTTTGTTAATCAGTAGAGAAGGAAAAGTATCTCAACAAATAATTCACCTAAAAAGCAAAATGCTTCTCCAATAAACATCTGGAGGGATGCCAAACCACATTAGCTGAAGAAATGAAAATCAGAGATGCATAATAAGTGGGAAAAAAACGGTTTGCACAAAAGTATTTATATGATCACAAATTTTAAAAGAATATACACACCTATTAAACACAAATATTTTAAGGTAGGGAATCGACTCGACGGCAACGGGTTTGGTTTTGGTTTAAACATGTTACCAAGGAGCCTTGGTGGCACAGTGGTTAAAGCACTCAGCTGCCAACCAAATGTTGGTAGTTGGAATCCACCAGATGCTCTGTGGGAGAAAGATGTGGCAGTCTTCTTTCCGTAAAGATTATAGCCTTAGAAACCCCATAAGGCAGTCCTGCTTGTCCTATAGGGTCGCTAAGAGTCAAAATCGCCTCCGGCAATAGGTTTGGTTTGGTTTTTAAACACATTACCTAAAGAGAAACATATCTGCAAAGTGTGCACCAATCTATTTACAGGTGATATCTGTGGGTCACAGTGAGGGGATCTTATAGATGGAAGATGCAGAATTATTCTCCAAGTAGACTTTTTAGTGTTTTAATATTTTGTAATTAGGCAAATTTGTTGAGAGAAACACTTGAAAATATCTTTAAAAAATGATAAAAAATTCACATGTATGTATTGGTTTAGAAAAATGTTCACGGTATAGTGTTTTATTTTTAAAAAATACAACTTTTAACTTGACAGTTTGTGTGTGTGTGTTTCTGTCTCCTACTTCCCTCAGCCCAAATGTTTACACACTCTCATATGCAGATTTATTTTCTCCTCACTCAGGGGCTGGAGCTCCTCTCTTGGAGGGGGTCTACAGATCGCTTCCAGGGAGTGGAAAATTCCAGAAAGTTTTGGCTGATGAGGAGGCTCCCAGGCACTGCTTCCCCCTCAAAATGCCTCATGGCCTGAGACTTTCATAGCTACAGTTCTGGCTCTGACCACCTGGGGGAATCTATCTACATTGAGTACTTTTTTTTTTTTTAAAGAAAATGGCATTCCTTCCCTCACCCCGCCCCT